CCCCGAGCCCTCCATCACAGAACCAACTCTGGAACTTATCATTTAATAAGTTCACTATTTTTTTACTTGTATCTTTGTTATTTTCTGCCATGGGTTATTTAGTTGCCTTTTTTTAAATATAGAGTTAAATGGTTAGATTTCGCAGTTTAATTATTTCTACACCTACTATTGATGATATCTATATCTTGTTTAGATTCAAGATTGGTCTCATTCCATGAGAACTGACATGCTTTCACTGTCATTATTTTCTAAATAATCTGTAACTATGACTGTGAATTAAATGTAACCAGCAACACAAATAAGTAGAAGCTATATTTGTTGATTTCCTCTTCTGGGACTCTGAGTTTTTCAAGGATGTTTATTAGTGTGATCTATTTAATACATTATTCTTATCATATTACTAGAATTTTTCAGATCCTTCTTTGACTAACAAATTAGTCAAATCCAGAGTATGTTAAAACATCCCACTATAATTGAAACAATTGTATTGTCTTATTGTATGGTTTTTATATACCGGAGAGTTTCAGCTTCAAATATTCTGATGCACATAATTTTTTTATTTTGAGAGGTATTGTAATTTTTATTAGTATCAAAGGATTCAATTTGTCATTTAATTATTTGCATTGAAAGATATTTATCAGATTGAAAGACTAATATTGCCAACCTGATTTATTTGTGTTAATATGGATTTATATTTAACCTTCTAGGTCATGTATTTTTAGACCTATGTCTTTTGAGAATAGCATGTAACCAGATTTTAGTATTTGACTCAACCTGAGCATTTCTCCTTTAACAAGACTTTGTTTAATTTACTTTTTTTCTTCAGAAGGTATTCAGCATGTTTTTATTTCACTAGTGATTGCCTTTAAATTTAACACACTAATCTGAGCCCTTTTCTCCACTTAGATCACAAACTGGGGCATGTTTACTGATCCCTTTCTATGTAAAATAAGGACCATAACATGATAACTCTCTCTACTCCTTTAATATAATTTCCAGAAGATTATATAATTCAAGATTCTTGACCAACATTACATTAGTTTTATATATCATCTCTTTCAGGAATTATTTTTACATTTTCATTGCCTTTGCAAAAACAGATTTACATTAATCATTTAGATCAGCAATTTTCAACCTTTTTCATCTCGTCGCACATAAACTAATTACCAAATTTCTGTGGCACACCAAAAATTATATTTTTTGATAATCTGACAAAAAATAGGCATAATTTTGATTTGTTCACATCAGATGACTGTTGTTGGGTTGGCTGTGGTCATTTTTTAATTTGACAATTTAAGGGAAAAGAGGTCCGTGGCCCTGACTGAACAGTCAGGCACTGCATATTTCAGACATTCTTGCGGCGCACGGTTGAAAAGCACCCATTTCGTCCCACAGTGCTCACCGCCAGGCTTTTGAAACCACAGCTTCCCCAGGGTTCAGCTCTCCGGGGTTTTATTTTGATGCCTCTCCTGATGAGCTCAGGTACATCTAAACTGGAAAACTGGGCGTGTCTGGAATTTGTCTTCATCCTTGAAATTCAAGGAATTCACTAGGATCTATGAACATACCGATTTCTGCCCTGAGTGATTTCAGTGACTTTCACGACTTTACTCACCAAGTTGTGCTTCAATTGTATTGTTTATTGGATAAATTATGCTAGGGATTCTTCTTCCATCTCCAAAATTTTCTGCTAAAAAATCATAACCACATGAAATTGAATTAGAATCACATGATACACTCCCAACTACTTTAATGTGATAATAGCATTTAAAAATGGCACAGAGCAGACCCTCAAAAAACACTTGTCAAGAAAAAAACAGAACTCAGTGTGACAAAATATCAATCTATAAATGCATGTTTTTAAGCCAAAAATAATTGAATTGTTAAGGAAAAAACCTAAAAGCTGGCCTACCCAGGGAGTTTGCTTTGTAGTTATATATTTGGTATAAATATAAACTGATGAGATTGTGTAATAAAATCTCAATACCTAATAATCCAAATATACTTCTTTTAAAGTATATTTGGCCTAGGTCCTAGACAGAGAGAAATAATGACCTAATGCTCTGTCCTCAGACCCGCCCCTCCATGCTCCATCCTGCTTTTCCACGCACGCTCTTCCTTCCTCTCCCCTCCTGCTGGTCTTCAGCTCTTTCATTCCTCCGCCCATTTTATAACTGGCCACCTTACAGTGACCCCCGCCCCTCTGTGTTCCTGTACTGCTCCCTTCCTCATCTGTCCACCAAAGCTTAACAGTCACCTTCTGCGTCCCATATTCTTCCTATACATTTGGTGGGATGTGGAAAAGTTATTAAAAAAAGGAAGCTAGGAAAGTACAAACACATATCCTCTATGATGGCAATAAGATCTGCACCTTCTACAAACTTCAAATTCAGTACATTCCCAAACAACAGTCATCACCAGCAAGATAAGGTACCACCTGCAAACTGACCACACACATCTAAAATCTGGAAGTCATTCTAGGCAACAGCTTTTCTCCTACCCTCTTGAAATGATCAATCCCCAAGTCAGACTAATTTTACCTCTCAGCAGCGCTCAGTCTGTGACTCTTTACCCCTAAACTCTACTTTCTACTCTCGACTTTCCCTGGGCACTCTCATAGACATCCGGCTCTTCAACTGCCGTCCAAAGGCCAGCGCCCTTGTAAGCGGTATGTCCAGTTCTTTCTCTAAGATACCTCCACTCGAGTGTCTCAGAAGCACCAAGTATTCAGCGTATCTATGACCAAACTCAAGATCACACTCTTAAACTCAAGTTTTCCTCCAAAGTTATCTCATTTCACTGAATAATATCACCACCCAGTCGGGTGGTGCACATGCCCCAAAGCCTGGTTTCCTCGGCCTTGCCACCTCCTCCCCCCACACGCGGTCTAGCGGACCCCCGCAGCACTCCGTCCCCCGGCCACCGTGCTGCCTGGGTCTACTTGCTATCCCCCTGTGCCGCTTCATCTGCCCGCGAAGCGCCGCTCCCGTCTCCGCAGGCGCCACCGTGCCCGCAGCCGGAGCGAGCCGTCAGAACGTAAGGCGCTCATCTGCTGCCCACTGCTCCCGGGGTGAACGCCACGCTGCTTCCGACTGCATATTCCTACCTAATCTCGGCGCCTGACTACCTCTCCAACTCCGCAGCCTGCCGTGATCTCCTCTCGCAGCGTAACTCCAGCCGGCCTATCCGCCTCCCGCCCCGCAGACATGCACTGCCGGTCCCGTGCCGGGGCCTTCACGGTGGCTGCACCCTCGGTCGCACCCAGCCTCGCCCACGCCATCACTCAGTCAGTGCTTCCCGACCACCAGCATTCCTGCTATCAGAAGCTTTCCCTGATCCACCGTCTCTTCAGCAGGTCCTCGCCTGTCTGACCTCGTATCTTCCTTTCCTTCGCTGCATTAATCTCCTTGGTTATTGCTCGTTAGCAGACGATCTGAGAAGTCCCTGCCTCCTCCCTGCTCAGCCTTCAAAGCTCCATCAGAGCGGTGGGCCCGGCGGCTCTCCCCACCGGCATGTTCTCGCTGCTGAGCACAGGGCTGGCCTTGGTGGGCACTGGGTAAAAAGTCGCTAAAACACTGCCTGAAGAAGAATCCCTGCCGCCTCCGTCCCAGGTCAGATTGTCGCACTCTTCGGGACATCGAAGGAGCAGTCTAAATGGTCCAGGCCTCCAGACCCTCTTCAGCTCCTGCCCAAACCATCTCAAAGCTGTCACCCACCACACGCAGCCTCCTCACTCTGCCTGCACTCTTCCCAGGGCTCTTCAGAGGTGCCTGGGAAAGCCGGCATCCCCGGCCCCCTCGACCTTGCCCCTTTGACTCCTGGCCTCCGCTCCCACCACTGCTCACCTCATGCTCACGGACACGCTAACAAGATTAATTTTACATCCAACAGATGCTGCGACGGTAGACGCGTCTCTGCTTTGCCTCTGCTTTTCTCTCTGCCCCTCCTCACCTTTCTTTATTTCTGTAAATCCTACTCGTCCGTCAAAATTCAGCCGAGAAGACATTTCCTCTGAGAAGCCTTCCGGACCACTCACTGTGGCTGCTTCTGAATCTTCTCCCGCGCCCCACACCCTCTCGGACTCTGTCCTTACCACATGATGCTAAGATGACCTCTAGCTCCACTCCCACCAGGCTGAGAGCTTCTCAACAGATAAAACGATGTGCTGTGTTTTAATTTTTTTATTTATCGGATTTTAACAATTTGGGGCATATAATAGATCGAAAATGAATGTTTATTTCAGTGACACGAAATGCAGACTCTTGGACTCAGTGACCTCTTGTGGTATTCTTCAGTTGCCTCTGGCATTTCGCCTTTCAAAGAATTTCCTCTGCTACTGATAAAACTAAGGCATAGTAGCAGTCGGTCACTCAGCTTATACATAATCTGCGCCTGGTGTAGGCCAGACACTGGGTTCGGTGTTAGGGACTCAACTGTGAACAAGACAAAGAAAGTGCTACTTTCAGAGTAATATCACTTAGCATAAAACCCAAAGCACAAAAGTCATAACAACTAATGCAATTAATTTTCATAATTCAGGGGCTCCAGGTGGGAAGCAGGAAGCCACCCATGCTGGACACATCTCCTCAGAGAGCCACACCCATCAAGGAGTCTCTCAGGATGCCCAGTACATGAAGTCTGACAGAAGCCAGTGACAGCCACGGAGGTCTGAGCCAAAGATATACATGCCGGTGATGTATCGCAGAACTGGCCACCGAAAACTTTAAAATATTACTAACCAGTGCCACCGCAATACACTTCATTTAAAATGAAGATGTATTTAGCCTTCAGTTCTTCCCATTTAGATGGGTCAATATAGAAAACAACTCTCTACTGGGGGGAGAGAAAAAAAGCCAAAGTCAACATAGCAGAAACTCCTTGCTGAATGTGTTTAGAAGGAAACATGCTGTCCGGGGCCCCGAAGGCCTGAGTCTCGCGCTGTTTCTGTCACTCACCAGCTTTGTAAGCTTCAGAAGTCTCTCTCCTCCTGGACCTCTATAAAATTAACAGCTTGAGCTACATTATTATTCGGGGTTTCTTCTACCCCTAAGAGTCTGCTTTAAAATGCCCAGGTCCTATGCTCAAGAAAACCAGCGGTTCTGGGTTGGGAACTAAAATCCATGGGCATTAGGCATCCTGGACCGATTCCAGAGACACTGAAGTCTGCAGCGCCCGAGGCAGGAGAGGTGAGAGCCGCAGGCGCCGAGGAGCCACCCGCGAGGCTCAGGGGAACAGTGATTTTCACAATGCCCACCGCTTGCTAAATACCTATTCTTGGCGGGGCCCCCCGGGAACTACTACTCTACATACATGATCTCACTTAATTTTCATAAACAAACCAAGTTTTGGTGTTTGTTTTTTCCAATGACAGTTGACCAAGAGTTTTGAGTATTGTGTTTTCTCAGATGAGGAAATTAAACTGCTCGTGTCCTTCTGCCTCATTCTTTCTACCCTCTGATTCTACTAATGACAAGTTTGGGAGCCTGCCAACGTCCAGGAAAATCCAGACCCAGCTCACTCCTCTCGCGAGGGCCCGGGGCAGGCAGAGCCGGGGAGGCAGCCGCACTTACCGACGCTCACGGCGATCCTGTGGGACACGCTGTACTGCCTGCCCGCGTGGCTCAGCCGGGCCTCACAGGCGTAGTCCCCGCCGTCTTCTGCAGAGACGTCGCTCACAGAAAGCTTTAGTTTCCAGTGAGTAAACCTCCCTCCTTTAACTTTCTTACAGTCCTAAATGCCAAAAGTAAATAAAAGTCAATTCCAACAGCATTTTGGGCGTCGGCTGCGGTTCTGGTCCGCAGCATTCTATACACTGAGGCGACCCGCGGCGCCTGCGTGGCCCCTGGAAGGTAGGTGGCGCGTTACCCAAGGAAGAAGGGTTGGCAGAGAACGTCCGAGGGCGCAGGTGAGTGCTATAAAGAGTCAGTCTAACGGGAGCTGAAGGACAGAGACCCAGGCAGGCTGGGAGGAAGGCTTCAGGGAGGAAGACTATGGCCGGGCTGCAGGCGACTTCAGGAGGCCGTGAACCGGCAGGAAGGTGTTCCACCCAGGGGCCCATCACTCCCAGGGGGCCACCATCTCATGGCGCCAAGCCCCTTGCCAACGACTCCAGGACTGCTCCCGCTGTGTCACAGGCCCTGTTATGCCCGCCACGCCGCTTCTCCCCTCCCCTCGCCACGGCATAACAAGAGCAGCAGCACACCAAACCCACTGGAGGCCGCTTAGTCTCAGGGAGTCCTTTCTCACCTCTCAGCCTCAGCAGCCACCCAGAGGGCAAGTCTCGCCATTCACCCTGCTATCTGAAGCTCACATTCTCCGTTAGTTACCACTTCTTCCATCTCACAGACACTTCTCCTGTATCTTTTCCCCTTTCTTCAGGAAGCTCCACTCTACAGGGTGACTTCTTGGACAACTGAATCCGTTCAACATTAGCCATCCAACATATAAGTTCCTGCTCTTTGCTAGCACTGAGAGGCCCTGGTTCTGCAGGGAGAAGATGCAGTCCCTGGCCTCAGAGAGCTCACAATCACGATCACAGAGAAGACAAGCACACAAACCCTTCATTTATAAATAACGATTTAATTGCCCCAGTTTTAGAGCCCATTCTCTGCCATCGGGTCAGTGTTAAATCAATCTCGGGTGAAACTCAGTAATGCCAGAACAAGCATTTGCTGACTTACATGGAAATTGTAGCTTCCTAGACGCCTTACATTGCTCCTCTACATGGGGAACTGAATTATAACCAGACGCTGGCTTACCAAAGGAATGGGAATTCATAAGAGCCAGATGCGTGAAGACGACATCAGGCTCTGGTAATGTGATGTCGCCTTCCTCAGAGTAGAAACCAAAAAAAAAGCAAATCTTTGGATGGTGGAAACCTCTTCCCTAGATGGGCTTAAATTGGCACAGTATCAGGGCCTCACCGTCTACAATTCCGTTATTGACCAGGCCCCTTTTCAATGGATTCATTCTCTCTTTCAGGGTGTACAAACATTTAACTGTATTACCTTTGGCCTTGCTAGCTTAAGAGCCATTCTACCCTTTTACTATAACTAGGACGGCCTCTACTATAACCCACTGGAGCATTATTTTAGAGTCTAAATTCTCAGAAGGCTTTGCTTTTTATTTAACAATTCTTGGTGATAGCTCACTAATAGAGTTCAAAATAAAAATATTCATAATTACAGTAGCCAACATCTGAATATGTTTCCTCCTGGCCCAGCATGTACACTGGTTCTAGGGCCTCGAGTAGCCCAGAGCCTCTGGCTGAGATGACGGCTGTGCGAGTGCTGAAGGCGGTATCAGGGAGCCAGGCAGGGGCCGGCCACAGAAAGCCATGGGCAGGCGGTGAGCACCAGCAGCCTTTTAAATGGGGGATAAGATGATCCGAGGGTAATCTACCTGGTTAGGTGGGAAAGGGTTAAAGATGGGGCAATCCAGAAACTAGGGAAAACATTGAGAAAGTTATTTCCATAAACTAAGGCTAAATAGAGCATGAACTAAGCAGTACAGTGATAACAGCAAGAACAGGACACAGAAAGAATGACTTCAAGCAATCCTGATCCACAGATTTAGTGACAAATGAGGAATACGGAGCGGGAACAAGACTTCCGTGACTCCAGCTGGGCTATGCAAAGGTATCGTTAGATAGGGGAGAGAATGTAAAGAAAATGCAAAAGAACACTCAGATTTGGGGCCAAGGTAAAAAGCGGCTCTAAACATGGAGGCCATGGTTGAGTTGTGGGGGTAGGAATGTCTGAGTAGAAAATATTGGGCAAAGTATCTGGAGGTTGAGAGAAAGAGCAAAGTGGGAGAAAGAGAGTTGGGAGCCATCCCCATTTGAATGTCATCAAGGTAAGAATAGAAAATCGCCATGGCTGAAATTGAAACCCAAAAATCTAAGACCCCAATGTAGAGGGTGAGGATCCAGTGACGATTACTAAGGAAGGACTGGGGGAAGGGGGGAGAGATAAAAATATGAGTAGGGCTCAGACAGAAAGAGGGGGAGTTCTTAGCTGACCGGAACGTCCAGCCCTGATGAGTGCCACTAGGAGATCAGGCTCAGGACTGAAAACATGTTAGATTTGGCAGCTAGAAAGCCAGTAGTAACCTCAGCAAGAACAGATTCAGCAGAGTGGTGAAGCAGAAATCAATGAAGAGTAATTTGGAACTTAAAAAAATGGAGACATACTGTTTTTCTGAGTGCAGGCACTTCCTTAACTATCCATGAGAATGGGTGCTTTAGTACCCAAGCCTTCCCATAACCCCTTCAATCTCGAGGACAGCCTTTATTCCTCCGAGTCGTCAGTTCTCCCAACCACAACTTGGAGTTTGTCATTGTCCATAGCTACTATCTCTAAACTCTTAAAAACAAATATACCATTCTGATTACCATTTTTATTGTGCCACCTCATTTCTTCATTTTTACTAAATAATAATATCTAATAATGTTTATTAGAGAAGGTACTATGTACCACACTCAACTAAATACTTAGTGGATAGATTATTTCATTTAATCTTTAAAACTGTGAGGTCATATAGCTCAGACTGGATTTAGTTGCAAGAAACAAAAAGCATTCTAGCTATTTTAGGCAGAAAAAGATTCAATACAGGATATTAGGTGCTTACACAATATTAAGAAGTACTGGGAGTGAGGTCTAGTCCAGAATCACACTGAAGAACTAGCTCACATGATAGCTACTGCCTCCACCACAATCATGACGGTGGGATCAAGATTTGGAAATAGCCCACTTCAAGTCAGAGACCAGTAATGGCCACTTCTGCAGCTGTAGTGTGTGAAGTCATGCCACATCTGGTACAGCCACCCCAACAAATAATTCAGAAGACATAAGCACAAACCCAGGGCTGGACCCTGCAACATCGCTGCAAAGTCCCTGTGGCTGTGCAGTCCAGGAAGAAGGGCGTCAGCCTTCAGTGAGGCCAGTGGAGAAACTGAGCTGCACCCAGACCCTTAGCTGCAGGCGCAGCTTTATAGTCTCCATAGTGTAAAGAGGCCCACCATGGACAGCGAGTGCTCACCACCACATCTGCCATATAGTCCACCTGAACTTTCTATCCTTCTGACCCATTTTTTCATCATAACTTGACTCAGTCCCATTAATCCTTTATTTTCACCTAATTTCCAGTTTCCTTTGGGCATTATTTCCTTTCCAACCCAATCTAGACTCATGTGGCCATCACTTTAATCACCCCCCTTTCAATCACTAAACCCTGTAGCCCTTTAGCCTTCCAGCATATTCACCCTGCAAACCCAAGCCCAAGTCCATCCTGCCACCCCTCTCACAGCCAGATGAGCACCGCAGGAGATAGTCACCTAAGTATGGGTCTTTGTACTACTGCCAATTCATGGTCTTCACCTAAGGAATTCTTCGCATCTCCTACAACGTTCTCTCACCTGTTCACTTACATTGCTTTTTCAAATGTCCACATCTTCCAATTCACAGAGAAAACAGAGGTTTTCACAAGTGACTGACCTCCACTTACCCACCTCCTTCTTTGCCTTCATTCTACCAGTTCTACTTCATACACTTTTTTATTTTTATTTATTGTTTTTGTTTTTTAAATCTTTCCTGTTGAGAGTATATAGATGTCTCCCCTTCCTTCCACCCCCATTAGCCCTGTCCACTCGGGTCCTGCCCTGCCCCAGATCTTCACCACCCTGTTGTCTGTGTCCACGGGTAATGTATGTACACATGTGAGTTCTTGGTTAATCTCTTTCTGCCCCTCCCCACCAGCCTCTTCCCTCTGAGATTTGTCCATCTGTTCCATGTTTCCATGCCTCTGGTTCTACTTTATTCATCAGTTTATTTTGTTCATTAGATTCCTTGTTCATTTATTTTGATATTTTAGATTCAATTGTTGATGGATATGTATTTATTGCCCTTTATGGTTCATATTTTTTATCCTTTTCTTCTTCCTCTTAAAGAAGACCCTTCAACATTTCCTGTAGTGCTGGTGTGGTGGTGATGAACTCCTTTAGCTTTTTCTTGTCTGGGAAGCTCTTTATCTGACCTTCAGCTCCAAATGATAGCTTTGCTGGGTATAGTAATCTGGTTGTAAGTCCTTGCTTTTCATCACTTTGAATATTTCTTGCCACTCCCTTATGGCTGCAAAGTTTCTGTTGAGAAATCAGCTGACAGTTGTATGGGAGCTCCGTTGTAGGTAACTAACTGCTTTTCTCTTGCTGCTTTGAAGATTCCCTCTTTGTTTTTAACCTTTGGCATTTTAATGATGATGTGTCTTGCTATGGGCCTCTTTGGGTTCCTCTTGTTTGGGACTCTGTGTGCTTCCTGGACCTGTATGTTTATTTCCTTCACCAAGTTAGGGAATTTTTCTGAGATTATTAAATAGGTTTTCAATTTCTTGCTCTCTTTCTTCTCCTTCTGGCACTCCCATAATGTGAATGTTGGGCTACTTGAAGTTGTCCCAGAGGCTCTTACACTATTTTCATATTTCTGGATTCTTTCATCCTTTTGCTCTTCTGGTTGGGTGTTTTTTGCTTCCTCATTTTCCAAATAGCTGATTTGATTCTTGGCGTCCTCTGCTCTACCATTGATTCCCTGTAAATTATTCTGCATTTCAGTTCATGTGTCCTTCATTTCTGACTGGTCCTTTTTTGTCTCTTTGAAGTTCTCACTAAGTTTCTTGAAGTTCTCATTAAGTTCCTTGAGCATCCATATAACCATTGTTTTAAACTCTGTATCTAGTAGTTTGCTTGGCTCCATTTCATTTAGTTCTTTTTCTGGAGATTTCTTCTATTCTTTCCTTTGTGACATGTTTCGTCTCTGCATTTTGGCTGCTTCCCTGTGCTTGTTTCTATGTATTAGGTAGAGATGCTATGTCTCCTGGAATTGGTAGAGTGGCCTTGTGTAGTAGGTGTCCTCTAGGGCCCAGTGGCTCAGCCTCCCCAGTCACCTGAGCTGGGTACTCTGTGTGTGCCCCTCTGTGGGCTGTGTGCACTGTCCTGTTGTAGTTGAGGCTTGATTGCTGTTAGCTTCAATGGGAGGAACTAACCCCCAGACCCATTGGCTGTGTCTACAGCGGAAGAGCTGCTGTGCGGGAGATGCCCATGGAGCTGGACTTGCTTCAGTGGGGCTTTGGTGTTCACCAAGTCTGCCCCTTGAGTGTGTCACTTGTGGATGTGATAGGGTTGTAATATGGTGTAGTCCGAAGTTGACCACCAGGTGCACTGGCTTTCCGGCCTCCCACAAGGTGCAAAATCAGCTACTGTACGTGCCCTGCCTGGGGCCACCTGGTATGAGCTATGGAACAATTGGTAGATGTTTGCTACTTGTGTTGGGCTTGGAGGTTTCCAGGAGAGGCCAAGCCATGAACCTTGGCAAGCTGCTGCTAGTGCTGAGCCTGGGACCCCTTATTAAATGGTATGGGGCACACTGAGGCCAGCTGCTGCTTTTCTGAGAGTTTTTAGGAAAGTCTGAAGCCTGAGCTCGGACAGGCCATTCATATGGAAAGCCATTGCAAATAGCTTGAGTGGGTTTGCAGACTGGGTGCGGCAGGGCCTCAAGGAGTTACCAGGGTAGGGTGAATAGTGTGAGCCAGGTTGATGGAGACTCAGATATGGCAACTGCCAGTGAGCTCTGTGGTGGGGAGGTTTCAGCAAAGGAACAATGGCTTCTGCCAGCTCTTCTGTCTAGAAGAAAACTGCTCCCCAGTTCTTGCCCTGATGCCAATTTATTTCCTCCCTGTATGTCCCTGGATCCTTTTAAGCTGCTGCCCCAGTGCTAGAGGTCAGAGGGAGTGAATCTGAGTTAAACTGTGGACGGGCCCTTTAAGAGGCGCTGCCTTGGACTCCAGCACCCTCTGTGTCTCTCAGTCACAATCCCTACTGGTTTTTACAACCAGAAGTTATGGGGATCTCTCTTCCTGGCACTGGAACCCTGGACTGAAGGGTCTGGTGTGGGGCTGGGACCCCTTGCTCCTCATGGGACCTCTGCAGCCAAGAAACCCCTCCCGATTAAAAAAAAGTCACATTTGGGTATCGGACAGCTGCTTCCGTGACTCTGCTCCTCCTACCAGTCTCGATGTGGCTTCTTTAAATCTCTAGTTGTAGGACTTCTGTTCAGCCACATTTCAGGCGGCTCTGAATGACGGTTGTTCTGTGGTTTAGCTGTAATTTTGATGTGGTTGTGGGAGGTGGCCACGCTTACCTACGCAGCCGTCTTGACTGGAAGGCCCATACACTTTTTTAAATGATCCCCATTTCTTAACTAAATTCTAAAATAGTCTAAATAATCAACATGTCGCCATTATCAAGCCCTTCCAATTTATTCACTCCAGTATCTCCATGGAGACTTCCTTAAAATATAAAGTTGATCGTGTCATGATCCTGGTGGTGTGGTTAGCTGTTAAAATACTGTAAGTGGGGAAAGCTACGTGTAGGTTAGCAGGAGAGGTCTCCTACTTCCTAACATCACCTTAGCCCACTCTTACATGTACCCTAAACTCTAACTAGTGTCCCCAACACCATTCCCTTTCTCAGTGATACCTTTTCACATACTGTGTCCTTGAATTCCCATCCTTCCGTCCCTTCCCCAGCAGGTAATTGTTATTCATTCTTTAAACACAGTTCAACAGTCACCTCCTCCAGGAAGCATTTCCCCGGACATTGCTTGACTGATCTAATTTTGCCTTCTTTAAGTTCACCTCACACTATAATAAAGTTTTTGGTTTACTTGCATGCCTCCTCTGGTAAACTACTTTTTTAAGTCAAGGATTCTCTTTCATCATCAGATCCTCAGTGCCTGGCACAGCACCAGGCAGATAATAAGCTCTAAATATTTTTATAATTTATTCCAACCCTCTCATTTTATAGGTGAAAACACTGAGGCCCAAGGAGTGACACAAGATAACTAGTTAGTGGCAAAAACAGAACCATAACTGAGGTCACTGGATCTGAGCAGGTGGACACTGCAGAATGGTCCCTCCTCCTTGCTTCCTAGCATCCTCTAATCTTCTCAAACCAAGTAGTTATTTTAAAATTAAACATGTCTGAGTCTCACTCACACATAATCTGATTCAGTAGTAGAGAATGAAGCCAAGCATCTGCTTTTTAAAAAGGCCCATAAGGGTAAAATTGATGCCCACTTAGGACCAATCATCAGAGCTCTGATTTCATTCCCAGATCTTACAGAAATTAAAATTTATTTTGAATAATTATAAGTATTATAACACTTCTTAAACCGAACCATCACCCAGTTCTCAAAGTCTGATCACACTGGAATGGGAGAGAATAAGTTTTGCCCTCAGGCTAGTGGCCTTGAGGTCTGGAAAGCCTCCTGAAATCATGTAGGCTAAACTCTCATTTTTTAAGTGAGAAAATTAAGGCTCAATACATCTGTATCTTGACACTGGGGTAGTGGCAGAGTTGATTCTAAAACTCTGCCTCTCCACAAATGTCAACTGCTTTCCACCTATGACCACAACAGGTGCAGATCAAGAGGAAAAACTTGCCAGAGAGTCTACTGTCAAGACCCTAAAAGGTCATAACACTTCATGATGCCAGGAGGTGGTTGCTGCAAGGCTGCAAGGGGGAGGCAAGAGACCTGAGGAGGGGTCTAAGGAAGCCAGAGGGGAATGTATAGCACTATATCCTGGGAAGCCCGAAGCTGGGCTTCAGAAACAGGCGACACCACCTCAAAGCGCTACAACCGTGCTGGGTTATTTCTGCACATCTTCTTAAGCAATGAAAAGAAACGAAACGAAATGAAACTGAACGAAAAGAGGGGGAAAGTACATTTGTCAACTTGAGTAACACAACCACGAAGCCCACACTGCAGCACTTAGGTTCTTTTGAATAAGCGTGGGGCATGGACAAAAGTAGAGCCTATGTGGGGCCTTGGAGCCTGTCTCGCCAATTCTCAGTGTATTTACAGCACACAGGGGCCTCTGCCGCCCTGCAGAGACTCAGCACCACGCACAGAGACGCAGCTTTAAAACCCACTACATCGCAAATCAGGCAATTCTTAAAAATAATCCAGAGTTCAAAGAAGAAATAACATTAGAAATTAGGAAATACTTTTAACTGAATGGTGAGAATATAACATCACAAGTGTAGAAAGCAGCAAAAACCAAGTTGCAAGGAAAATAACAACTTTCAATGCATAGAGTAGAAAAGAAGAAAGGTTATAATTATGACCGAAATAGCCATCTCATAAAGTTATTAGCAGCAAAATTAAAGCCCAAGAAAACAGAGGGGTAAAACTAAATGAGAGCAGAAATTAATGAAACAGAATTAACAAAGCCAGGGCTTTGGAAAAACTATTCAAGTTGATAAACCCCTGGCAGGAGTTATCAACAAAACAAAACAAAACAAAAAGAGGGAGAGGGAGAGAGAGAGGGAGGGAGAAATGGAAATATATTACACCAGACACGAAAAAGAAGGCATCACTATAAATCCTACAAACACTGAAAAGGTAATAAGTATATTTTGAACAATTTTAGCTCAGTCATTTAAAAATTGCATAGATAAAAATGACAATTTCTAAACAAGCACAATGTGCTAAATCTGCTATGAGAAGAACCAGGGCATCTGAAGTGCCCTATAATTAAGACACTGAATCTATAATTTAAAAACCTCCCCCAAAGGAAGTCCCAGTCTTATATAACTTTACCACTAAACTCTAAAAGCATGTAAAAGAAGAAATAAAATCAGTTGTAAACATTCCTAGAGGAAAGTAAGGATTACTTCCCAAGTTATTTTATAAGGTCAACATATCCTTTATACCAAAATTTAAAAGGGACCAACTAGGAAACAAAAATTACAGACCAACCTCTTTCTGATCTAGATGAAAAAAATTGTAGACAAATCTGGCAACATGTAAAAAGGGTTACACACCAACTCAGATTATTCCAGGAATGCAACACTGGTACAGCACTCACCAATCAGTCTCGTAATTCAGTACAGTAGAGGAGTAGAAAAGACAGTTAGAAACTTTAACACCCATTCACAATAAGATTGCAAGCACGCTAGAACTTCCTTAAGCTGGTAAAGACCATTTAACCCTAAAGCAAGCATCACACTTAATGGAGCTAATAAGAGTAGCCAATTGTTGGGGGAGGCACCAAGGCCCAGGGCAAACAGGGGTCAGGACTGGGCAGGAGACTTCTCAGCAGGTGACTTTTTATTCTGCGTGATCATTGACTCCTGCACATGTAGGGCCCATTTGAACAGACTAATTAATTAATCTGTTAGAAAAAAAGAACCAAGGACAGCCTAAAAATAAAGGACACCTGTGCAGAAGGGACAGATACAAATAATAAAATATTACAAAGCTATAATAACCATAAATTTAAAAATAAATAATTAGCCGATAAGATTATCAATAGCAATTAGCTAACAAATCTTAGGTACACAATCTCTTTACCAATTTTGCCTTAAAAATACAACTTAAATCGGAAAAGCAAGTGGCTTTTAAAGAAAAGAAGAGAAAGTATTAACAGGAAAATCCCTTTTTTACCTTATACCACTTTATTGAGTCCACATCAAAACTCTTCGGGAAATTCAGATGACATGTCAGGCTCTCATCTTTCCCAACATGCAATATTTGTTTGTAATCACCAGATACATTCATTTGACTGTCTCTGGAAGAGTTGCACCAATGTTTTTCAAGCACCGTTAGGTTTAGATGGATTTGGGGACACATATTTGTATCACTGTAAGAAAATAACAGATTGAAACCTCATGAACTCAAACAATTGCAAAATCAAACGATTCCGCTCATCTTCAAATGGGTCCAAATCATCCGCAAGTACTGTGCAAACCCTCTGCTTCACACAGACAAAGCACATCTCACAAATCGTCAGTTTCAAAAGGGAAAAGTACCTACACAGTGGAAACACTGGACAACACCTAACCAAGTGATCAAAATGAACATCACCGAGGGGCAGGCGGACACCATGCCTCTCCTGTCTGGGGACATGGACTGCTTTCATAGTATTCCGCCCCAGGAGGCTCATGGAGAAATATCTGCAAACCCAAACTGAGGGATAAATATAAATAATTGCCTGGACTCCCTCAAGATGTCAATGTCATGAAGAGCAGACTGAGGAGCTGTTCCAAGTGAAAAGAGCTTAACAAGACATGACAAGACATGAATTAGACTCTCTACCAGAAAAGAAAGGAAACAACTGGTATTGATCATCACTGAGAGGGTTGATAAAATTAGAGTATGGATTGAGGGTTAGATAAAAAATACTGTAAGACAGCAAAATTTCCTAAATGTGTTAACTATACCGGGATTATGTGAGGACATATTCTTGTTGATAGGAAATGCATATTGAAATAGTAAGGGGTCAAGGGACATGATGCATGCAACCCACACAATCTGGGAAGAGATGACTTAGAAAAATATCGTGTGTAATATTCATATATGCAGATAAGGTAAATGCGGCAAAACATTAAATAATGGGGAACCTAGTTAAAAGATAAATGAGAGTTCTCTACACTATTCTTGCAAATTTTATGTGAATTTGAAATTATTTCAAAGTAAAAATAAAGTTTACTAAATATGTATCACATCTATGTTAAAATTTTGTGACAGTTCATGTCTATTTTATTCTATGACAGACAATATCTGTTTACTTTCTATGAAAGATTATTTTCCCATTTCCCAGCTCCCAGTTTTAAACATTTTGAATCCAGTCTAGATTTCCAGGTGAATTTGTGTGACATACAATCTCCACCCCTGGTTAATTTATAGCCAAGAGCAAAAACGGGAGAGCAAATCTCCCTAAGACATGAGCAGCTTGATCGACGTAGGGAGTGAAATTGTGGAAACAGGCCAGGCAAATGGGCTAATGGCCTCTTCTACTGGGGTACCACTAAGTAATTTTGTCCCTCAAGTCTATCCGACATATGGAAATGAGGAATCTGGCATGAATCAGAGTGGGACACAGGCCATCCTGGGACACAGAAAGGGGTCAGCAAGTACCACGGAAATGCAATGAGGAGGGGAGAATGCAACTTCATTTCAGAGGTACCAACTTCACACATGATCTCAGGTAATTTTCACTTCAACCCTATCAGGCTGGCATAGTTTCCATTTTGCAGAAAAGAAAACCAAGCCTCAGGGAGGTCAATAATTTGTTCAAGTCATGCATGTTAGTAAGGGAAGGTGACAAAATTGGGGCCTTCAGGCAAAATTTGGTCCACAGATGTGTTTTATTTAGGCAACGCACACAAAACTTACTGAAAAGTTACACACACACACACTCTCTCTCTACTTTTCAGGTTTCCTTGAAAAATTAGAAAATAGACTTCAGCTGAATAGACTGCCGCCTTCGGTGGGGCCCGTGTTTTCCAGTTCACTGCAGCCCCACCAGACCTGTGTCATTCATTCACACAGTATTACTTTCTAGGGCTTAGCATCGGGTCTGGAACACCTCTGGTGCTTAGTCACTGTTCAATTTCCACCGCAGATGCCTTCCAGAAAGGTGCTCAAAGGAGATGGGTCCCTCTCTTTGTGCCACCTGTCCCAGGAACTTCTGGCATGCAGAGAAGGCAAGCAGCGAGGGTCACACTGGGATACCCAGCTTTGGAAGCTGGCCGGCGTGGCGCCCTTACCATGGGAAAAGCTGCATTTCACGGTCCAACAACTGATGTACAAATCTGCTCTGGTTTAAAATGCGTGCATTGGAAATTGTCTTAAACAACTGGAGAACTACATCTTATTCTTCTTGGGTTTTCTACACTTAAGGACTTACTAAGGATTTTCCTAAAAGAGTTATATACATGTAATTATGATGTATCCGTGAGAGCGCCTTAGTTCTCGTTTGGGTGAGGAACTTACTTTATCACACACTGGTAGATCCCGGAGTCCCCCGGTGCCACCGGGAGAAACAAAATCCAGGTCTGGTCTTGGTAAATCCTAGACGACCTGCTTTGGGACACTGGAATTCCGCCAGGATACTTATGCCAAGTCGCCTGCGCCTCCGCGGAGGTCGGCGGCGCCTGAGAGCAGTTGAAGGCGAAAGGCTGGCCGGGCGAGGGCGTCTCGGTCAGCGCTCGGGCGCCCGGGCACCCACCT